TTGCTTTTTGTGTGTGGTGTGTGTGTGTGTGTGTGTGTGTGTGTGTGTTCCCGCTCCTGGAATAGGCCGTAAATATACGGAAAGCAGAAAGCAAGAAACTTTATTTGGGTTAGCGATTGTTTAAAAATGCATAGCGAAAGAGCGGACTCTGAGTGCAGGGAGAGGAACAGTGGAGAACTAGGGGGCTCGAGGGTCTGGCCTGGAGGGTCTTTAAAGAGCTGAAGGAGCCGCAGGAAAGTGGCACGAGCTGAATAGAGCTCCTGCAGGAGCGCCAACTCAAGAGGCAAAGGGGCGGAAAAACAACAAACTAGAAGCAAGTGAAATTTTTGTGGGTGTTAATGGTGCACAGGAGAGGAGCATTTCCATCCGCATTTTCGTAAGCAACGACTCCTCGGAGGGAAGGAGTATCCCGTGATTAGTTGCACACGCTGAGCGTTGGGCTGTAAGCAGTAGGAGGGTGCACGTGTGGAGGTGCCACCGCTTGAGGCTTGAGGCGACACACACATCGTAAGGCCATTAAGTTGTAGCCAATAAACTTGTGCAACTCTATTATTTATATGTCAATCAAGAGTTGGCTTTGAGGTACGAGTACGAGCATTTAAAACGAGTCACCCACTGAAAACCGGAGAGCAAAAGTTTTTAATATTTAAAATTATGTCTTGGCCTGGCCAAGTAAATGGCTTTCTCGGCACACACACAAACACACACAGACAGAGAGACCAGTGGATGCAACAGCAGCAGAGGCACGATGTGGATTGTGGGCGAAAGTGGTTCAAGTGGTTTTTGCATCCACCTGACTGTCTCTGTCTTGTCTGTGTGTTGTCTGTCGGTGAATGCAATTTGTATAAAATTGATTATTAATGGTTTTGTCATTGAACAAATTGCAAATAAATGATATTCAGTGCACTACTCGTATTTATGCAATTAATACAGTCAAGTAAACAACAATGAATTATGGGAAATAGAGAGTATCCATTTATACATCTATCTATCTATCCATCCATTTATTTATCTATCATTCTATCTATTTTAGCCATCTATTAACTTCATCTATTCGTGGTGAACTCACTGTTGAATGAGCCATCTGCCCAAAGCTATAATTATTTTTAGGCGGAGTATTTCTGCCTCTACAAACCTCTTCCTCTAGTTCTTGCCTGCACAGATTTACATTAATTTGGCATCTTAACTGATTGGCTTTGCTGCAGCACTCGTCACTAGCTTTTCGCCACTAGCTCTACTCGTCACTGGGCACTCTGGCGAGCAAATTGTCCACTGAACAACGAGAAAACTGAGCTAAGAAAGAACCGTTCTTTAAATAGCTTCGGATACTCGTACATGCACTGCCGATTGGCACACAGAAGCCGTTGGATGAGCTCTTGGGCCTAACTCTTCGATATCGGAACATTATTAACGTCAATTAATTCTAACTGTTGCAAGACGAAGGCTATCTATCCATTAAGTGCTCAGCCACTAAGTGAATAGTGAGTGGGGAAGGGGGGATGGACGATGGATGGATGGGATGAGATGGCATCCCGGGAGACCAGACCTGTTTTAGCCGCTGCTAAAGTCGCTGCCCCTGGAAAGGTGGCTTCACAACTGCAGAATGGCGGGGGGTTTATTTTCTTGTTGTATTTGCTTCTTTTTTGTTTGTTTTGTTTTTGTGTTTAGTACTCTACTCGTATCTTCTTGGTATTATTTCGTTGTGTTCCTCTTTCCTGGGTCGCTGTCGCCTCACGATTCACCTCCCCCCACCTCCCCAAATCCGATTATTATCAGGTCTCACGTGAGTGCATGCCTCATTGTATTTTTCACTGTTGCAGCTTTTGGTTGCTGTTGTTGTGCATTTACAGTTGTCGTTTTCTTCTGTGGAAAATTGCTTTGAACTTGAAAAATTTCCCACGTGACGCGAGCAAAATGAACAGAGAATCAAAATCCCTCCTCGTTCTTCCTGCCTTTTCTCCTCTTGCCATTTTTGGTCGTGCCACATGTGGCAGAGCTGCACTTTGCATGTCATCGTCAACGGTAGTAAGCCACTCCCCTACCCTCCCCTCCTACCCACCTAGCTACGTATCTCTGCTAACGGTGTCGCTCCTGTCTCCCTGTCCCCCTCCTTTCGGTCTTACAGTTTTCCATGCCCTGGTCTTTTGTCTCTTTTTGGCTTGTCTCCTGTCTGGTGGCAAGTGTCGATTTTCAGTTTCGGATTTAATTGGATAGTTTTTTTTGTTTTGCTTTGCTTCGTGCATTGGGTATTTTATTTATTTTCCATATCTCTTCGGCGGCGATACCTTTAGGCAAACTGTTTGCTGCTCTCATATTCGTGAGCATTTTCGTTTATTTGTTTATAATTTCTGTGGGAATTTGAAATTACTGCAGGATTATCATCTTTGCATTAGCGGATGTTCGCGAGTGACTGGCCGTTCGCTTGTGGGAATTTTGTGCACAGAATCCATCTGGTTATAGATGGAAATGAGTATAGGAACCGCTGATGCACCGCTGAGCACTATAAATAGTTGAAGGATTCCAGGGGAGTAGTCTGTGAAGCACTTGGAAGTGAAAGAAAACGAACCTGGCCCATGGAGCCACATTCCCGCATGTCCATTAATGCTCATGGGTGCTCATGCTCTCCGAGTGCTTCTGTTGCCATCGTTGGTGCACTTTCTATGGCGGCGGCACTCGGAGGTTCGTGTCGTTTCTTGCATCTGGCAGCCCAGCCAATCCACTCGAGAGTTTAGTGTTAATCGGCAGTAAAACTCAACCTTCCTCCTACATCTCACGCGGCGTACAGTGAACACTCGGCCAGCACGTTCCAAGTTGGCAAAGTCATAAAAACAAACAAATGTTTACGATTGCAGGCCAGGGCGAGAATCAGCCAAGACTGCAGCCAGCTTGGATGCCCCTTTCCCATCCGATGGCTAGAAGGTAATTAAAAAGAACTTAGCACATGGTCGCGACACAGCCTAGACATGGGAAGCTAGCGACGACAGTTCATAAATGTCAAGTTCAGGGCTAACTTGAGTCAAAGGGCTGGCCATAGGTCTGGGTCTGGGTCTGGGCCATGGTTCTGGACAGGAATCAGCTGTCTGCCTGTCTGTCTGTCTGTCACTGTGTGTCATTAATTTGAAGGCAACTTAATCTATCCAAACCCCGCACACACGCCTCTTACGCCGTGCAAGTCGATGTTGGGAACCTTTGCGAGAGATTTTTACTTTTGATTTAATGAGCTTTTTGTTTTAATGTCTTGGCCAAAGAAACGATTGAAAAGATTGAATTCCTTATGCAAACAGTTCAATGAGCTTTGCTTTAATTAAAACCTAATTAAAATGAGTTTATTTTTTACGGTTTTCGTGGAAGTTCTTTTTACGAGTGTAAGGCAGGGAGTCTTTAGGGTTTTGGATTGATGGAACGGCAAATAAAGCAAAGTCGAAGATCCAGCAAATCACAACACCCGGAGAGGAAACAGTTTCAAAATCGATTAAAGTGTTTTTTTTTTGCAATATTCTTCTGAATATTCTTCTTCGCCATAGCCTTGGATTTTCTAGTTTCTACATCGATTGAGAGACGTTTCAGACGCCCCTGCTCCTGCCACTGCTAGCCACTTCAACTGCTCCCCTGATGTCCTCTCTAATGGACACCCATCAGAGTGAAGGCCCCTCCATATGGTCGTCGTCTGCTGCTGATGATTATGATGAAACCTAAGCGGCTTAAGATTCAGAGACCTCTAAACGCACAGAGCTTCGGGCACAGAGAGCTGCGTAATCAAATGCATGTAATTTGAGTTTAATGAGTGTCAAAGTTATTAAAAATCATTTGCTGTGTTGTTGGCCTGGCCGCCCAGTTATGGCAGCCGCCAACTGGATTTTCTGCCAAACTGGCTTTCAGCTTTGGGCTTTGGGCTTTGGCTATCGGCCAAGTTAACTCAACTCAACTGGAGTCGAGTCGAGCCGCTTCGATTTGAGACTCCATGAAAGGCAACAAGTTACAAAATTGTTTCGAGACATTTTTGGGTACGTCATCAGGCCTAATTACTATCCATCCATCTCCCCCCCACTCTGTTGAAATGTTCTCGCCAAAATAAATGTGTCAATAGATTTAAATGGCGTTTGGGCTAAAACCAAATTGAGTTATTAGTGGGACACAACCACGACCACAGCAGAGATCTCTTAATAGAGTTGTTTTCCTTCAGTCAACAGACATTGGTTACAGCGTCGGGCATTAGTTGTGGCAACACCGACTCCGAAAGAGCTGCTAAAAGTCTTACGCAACGCAACATTCAGTCGAATGCAGATGGATCCGCTACAATTCCGCGTAAATCTCATTTCCTGCCCTGCTACCAAGAAATTCCTAATGAATGCTTTGAATAGATTCGTTCTGGCATCCCTGAATCAATTTGAAACAGCTTGTTAAATTCTTGCTTGTACATTCCAATGGATCTCCAAGTGTATGGCAATTGATTTTAAGTTAATTTTTTTCTTCTCAAGTAGATGTAGGGATGGAGGAGTGGAGTGGAGATGCTGGCAATTGAAAAATTCAATTTTTATGTTCAAATTGTGGGCCGTGTGGATACATACTACATATGTGTGTAGTACACCCACAACATAACGCTTTGCCCTCGCACTCACTCCACTCAATCATTGATTGGATTGTCGTTGGTCGTGTGTGTGTGTGTGTGTGTGCCGCGTCTGCTGCCAGCTGCATGCTCACATGGCGTATGATTGATGGCCCAACAGCCACAGGCACCAGCAGCAGCAGCAGCAGCAGCAGCAACCAGATGACGAAGAAGGAGTCCTTCGCCGAATAAGTCAGACATAAAATATATGAAACTATCCCTGGCTGCTGCTGTTGCTGGGGACAGGGTATACTGCGCATGTAGAGTTTATCCGTAAATTGAATTTATTGAGGAAATTGACAGAAATCATATTTACACGTTAAATAGAAATTAATCATGAGAAGAGATAGGAGAGAGAGAGAGCTTACTGATTTCTTCCTTCTCTCCCTTTCAGTTATCCACTCGACATGCTGTGCAGTTTGAGCTGCACTTGATCAGAGGCAAGGCCTCTGACGGTGAAAGAGCGCAGTGGTAAGTGTTTAATGTGTTTAATGTCTCCTGTTCTTGCATTTTTGTTTATTTGTATTTCGCCTTGAGCGCATTGAGTCGCAGTTTGTTTTTGGTCTTAATGCCGATCGTCCACTCTTCACTGCGTGCACACACACGTACTCTCCCCTTCTCTCACCCAATTCAATTATTCCAGTGCGCTCTCTGAGCTAATATTTCGATCCATGGTAAACTTATACGTATGAGTACAAAGGTGACGCATACCGTGAGAGAGGCTTCCTTTAATGATATCATCAAGAGAGCGCGTTAGAGTGAGACTGAATGAGAGGGCAGCCACTCGGGAGTACGTCACCTGTATAGAAATGCACTGCTTGCACACGGGAGCGACGCTCTCTGCAAATACGGGACTTTCGTGCGAAACAAACGAAATGGCAAACGGGACGCTACTTTTACTGCGTAGATTTTTTATGGCTCGACTCAACAATTATGAATACCCTTTATTTTATTTTGTAGTCCCCCCCGGCTGTACCATTTGTATGGACATGTTTCCAAGTCGTATCTGTTACCTGTCTGTGTCGGTTGCCATTTGTTTTTGGTTTTGCACTCGGAAACCGGTCGAATGGGTTTACTGTGACTCCACAAACACACAAACCACACACACTACACACACGTCATTTATGCATTTGCATATCATTTTGTTCTGCTGTGCTTTTTTTTCTCGCCCGATTTCAATTTCGTTTCATTTGATTTGATTTGATTGCACAAATACAAATTTTTTTTTCGACTTAATGGCTCTATGACGTAATTTCTGGATGTTGAAATTAGTGAAATTTTGGTGGAGTATTGCTCATGTGGCAGCTTAATTAATTGATCTCTAATCAACCACTGGATAATCAATTGGTTTTAGAATTCGTAAGCAGGGAATTTTACTATTATACAAATATTTTGCAATTAAAAATACATAAATGCATATATCATGATTTCGAGACACGTGTGTATCGACAGAATATATTCGGACTTATTTACTGCCATGCCTCCCTGCCCACACGGAGGTTAGGCAATTTCAAAGCCAATTTGGGTTTCATTTTATTCTATTATTCTCACAATACATATCTGAAGTTATATCCCAGTTGTACCTCACACATGTTTATGTGCGAATGCTTTAGCCAGACACTATGTTTGAGGCTTAATTCTATTGTCAAAATGTCTCTCCACTATTGACTACATTTTTGTACATTTTATTGCAACAACTTTTCTTGTTATCTTCCTTTGCTTTGATATGGCTTTTGTTGCCAAAAACACACACAGATTCCCAATTAACAGAACAATCGAAACAATTTCCATTCGAATAAATGCTTAGTTTTCAAAGAAGGGTTTATCCTTCGAGTAGAACTACCCACAGTTGCAGCATCTGGAGCTGACTTTACCCACAGATGCAGCATCCGTGTCTGCCTTTCCAAGAGGAGTTGGAGTCCAGGTAATGGATAGGGCCACCGGTGTACCGAATGTGTTGTGCGGTTTTTGGATGGTTTCAGTTTCAGTTGATTTGTCGGTGGATTTGCTGCTGCATTTGCTGTTGCTGTTGGTGGTCTGTCTCTGTGGTTCTGTTTTCCGACAAAGGACTGATTGCTGGATTGCTGGCCACAAAGAAGAGTTAAGGGCACTGGATGGCCTCTGACCATCTCCAGGGTTAGAGTTAATTTTTCTTATTGTATTGGGCATTTCCTCCTCCATCGCTCCATCGCTCCTTCTCCTGCTGCTCTGGAGGCTACTCCCTTGGGGATTTTTATTCCGCCTTCAGTTTGTTTGGGGAGCATAATGATGCCACTTGATTGAAAATGAACGTGACTGGAAAACAAGTGTCGGGGTTAAAGTTTTCTCTCTCCCTTCTTATTTTGCTTTCCATTCGCTACGCTTCGTTGTTCGTTCGTTCGTGCTCCTCTTCTTGTGCTGATGTTGCTGTTTGCTGGCTCTTGGCATAAACAGAAAATGGCAAAATAAATTAGCCAAGAGATGCTTTCAGCCAGAAGCGGCTCAGAATGTACTCAGTGTCGGCATCAGCTTCTGGCTTGTTTTTGTGGGAGTGGAGAGCCAGAAGCTAGTCACAATTCCCGACTAAATCTCATTTAATATAATTCAATTAAAGTTTCCATCGCTACCAGCGGCTCGGGCGCCATTTTGTAGCATATTTCCTAACAGAATTATGTGCGCATTTCCGTTTCCGTCACACGCAACACTGCACCGACAGAGTGAGAGAGAGACAGAGAGAGAGAGAGAGAACGAGAGTGAAACAGCATCAGCGAGGAAAATGGTTTCTGCTTCTTCGATTTAGCCGCAGCCACAGTGGTATGACAATCAGTAAAACAGAAAGAAAATTGAGAGTTAAAAATGGTCTAGAAGAAGAAATGGAACCACCCATAGCATCATCGATCCTAAGCTATTTTGAAGTGAAACATTTCTAAAAGTTCTCCTTCAACCATTTCGCACCACTGTGCAGCGAGTATAATAATGCTCGTAGTTTGCCATTGAGTTAAGTTTTCCATGCGGGTAGACTGTGGATGGGATTGCATTTTGCATTTTGCATTCGTGGATGCCACAACAGAGTGTGTGCCGCAATAAGTGGCTGGAGCCGAGCCTGGAAAGCACCAACGAACAGCAGGTGGCTGCCATTGAGAATCGGCAGCAAAAGGCAATTTCAGATGTGTGCTTGGGCTATTATGCATAAACGAATGTATTTTGCGATTACTGTTAAAGCGTGTAAGAGTGTGTCTGAGTGGCTGTGTCTGTGTCTGTGTCTATGCCACATGCCACTGCAGTACTCGCAGTGCTCTCTCCAATGACCTGACCCACAAAACGAGGCCCCCAAAAAGACTGCAGGGATGCACGATGCTGTAACTAATCGCAACCAAAGCCCATTCGCTGTGGCATATTTAAAAACTCAATTTACACACAGCCGAACTCTCAGCCTCTCTCAGTCCCTCCCCTTTGTCGGCTGACTCGTGTCATTTCCAGTTTCTCACACTTTTGCCAAAATAAATTTTCATCGCCTGCCATAAGGCCTTGAGAGAGTGCAAGTGTCACAAGCACTTAACTGAAGGAGGTGCCCTGCCCGCACAGGCAACAAGTGCAGGCGAAAGCCCTCAAGACCACCACTGACAAGTCGCTCCCAAGTAGGCCAAAAGCTTGCAAAAAAAAAAAAACAGATAATAACTGCTGAAAAGTGTCCGCTCAACATTTGTCATGTGCCAAAATTCATGAAAATATTTCGCCTGCAGATGAAAAAGGGAAAAAAGGCAAAAATTCAACAAGCAGTGGAGCTAAAAAAAAATTATTTACAAGATGGGAAGCAGCAGTGAATGAAATTTAAAATTTTCATTAAATTAAAGAGAAATAAATGAATTATCTTCATTTCGGTATCTCTGTTAGATAAGATAAGATGATTCTGCTTTACGGTTCGATGGATTATTGAAAGTGTGAAAGACCAATCTATAACTTTGATTATCTCCTGCCTTATGGTGCAAAAACTTTTGCCCCGACCCCGATGACACTCTCCGTCCTGTGTCTGTGTCTACTGATAGACAGGGTGTGGCACACCTTAGCATTAGAATTGGGTGGGAGGGGTGTCCACCGTGTCCAAGCCGAATAAATGTCAGACCGACACCCAAAAGTCAAAGACAACAGAAAGGCAGATAGGCAGACACACCAGACACACCAGACCAGACAGACAGCTAATAGAAGAGGAATCGGTGGTTCAGGGACAGGGACAGGGACATTGTGCTGGGGCCAGAAATTTGTACTTTGACAGCGGCAAGACAGCTGTCTGTCCAACTGTCTGGAATGCCCATACCCTCGCCACTAGATGGGTTGCAAAAAATTAACACAAAACTCATACAAAAAGGGGGGGGGGGGGGGGGCATACACCGACAACATAAATTTTGATTTACTTTACTGACAGTTTGTGTGGGGCGACCTCCCCCATCCGACCATCCGCAAAGGTCGAGCATAATTTTCCCATTAGTTCAAGTGAAAAATCGCTGCCACTCAGTATGGTATGGAGCAGAGGCAAGAAACTGCGGTGAGGCCATTTGCTGACCAGCAGAATCAGCAAATGCTCCCCGCACATTATACATAGATCCACAACTTTTCCAATTAAAAGCGAAATAAACTTTCGAAAAACGCACTGAAAATTCAATCAGAGCAATTGCTGACTGTCCGGAATGAATGGCGGCAACACAGCAGATAAACTTGGCTATAAAAAAAACCCATTGAACGGTAATTATATGCCAAATAAAACCTTTGACCTGACTTGTGCTACCTGTGTAAGCCTATTAGCTATTGGCTGCAATGGCAGCAGATCAGATTTAAATGAATGACACTGGATTCGGTGTCGCTTGTGGATTGTTTATTTATTGTATTAGTAGTATTTGGGACTCTTAAAAATCGTTTTTACTGATGCGAAATATTCCATTTGCCGCAGGCACATTTCTCATACGCGGCTGATGTTCGTGTTCTACTGGGATTTCATCGTAAAAATCTTAAATCTTTTATGCCAGGAATGGTCTCGTGTGCCTCCAACCTCCAACCGATTGATATGCGCCAGCCACGTGGCATGTGAGTCGTCTCCAATTAAATACACAGCGCCACAAATAAATGATAGAGAACAATCCAAAACCACTTTCGGACTTATCAGCAGTTACGACGGCCTCTTTCCCTATCGAATATCAATGCCTTGGCCACGTTTCCCGGTCTTATCAAAAACAGAATTCTACCCCTCTCTCTCTCGCTCTCTCTCTCTCTCTCTGTGCACTTGCGATTGTTGTGGTTGCGTATTCGTTGGCTGGCTGATAATTTCACTTGAGCCACTTGAGTAGCATATGTATGAGGAGTATGAGGAGTATGAGGAGTATATTTGGGTTTGATTGACAGGTGCGTGTGTGGGGGCCAAGGTAAACGGGCCTTTTGTCTTTTGTCCCGCGACTCACCTGTGCTTAAGCGCGCTCTTCATTTCACGTATTTTTACTTGCATTTTTATCGTTTAATTTATGGATTTCGTTGAAGTTTTTTGACCGTGACATGTTTTTCTTTCTTTCCTTGTGGCTTTCATTTAATTTTTGTTGACTTTTTCATGGGGGCAGTGAACCAGGCTGGGTACTCACAACCCTCGTATATTAATGGCCGAAGGTTATTTATTTATTTATTATTAAATATTAATTAAACTGTGATAAAAAACGGAAAAGAAAAATGGAAATGAAGCTTTGGGAATTCTAGTCAGAAGTCGAAAGAATGCAATGGAATTTGTGTGTAAAATCAAATGGCCTAAATGGGGCCTAAATGGGGGCTTAAATGCAGTTAAAGATCCATTAAAACCATTTAGTTTTAATCCTTGAAAGTCTCTTTGTATCCATGTCAATGGCTGGGCACTGATGCGAATTCCTTTTAACATCTTTCATTAAATCCTCGCCAAAACACACACACACACACACACACTATCCTGCACGGCACATCCCCACCGCATTCATTATGGTTTATCACTCTGTTACGCCTGCAAGCATTTTCCATTTTCCATTTTTCCACCTCCCCCCCACCCCCCGCACCATCCTACTCGTAACTAGTTGAATGCAATCATCAACACGCTCCGCAATTAAATGCGACAAAGTGCAGACTTGTTGGTGGGTAACCCGTTCCGCCCACAGTGGGCCACCAGTTACCTCTGCACTCTGCCCCCCTCTGGCCCACCGCACCGCGCTCATTACACAAAGCGACAACTGTCAGCGCGCGAGTCTCTGTGGCACACATTTGCATTGCTCTGCTCTACATACCGCCCGCCGCCCTACCGCTCACCCTTCCCTCTTGCCCCTTGCCATCGTGCTGGAGTTTGGCGTGTGAATTAAATTTGTGCATAATTGCAGTTGCAACTGCAATTGCCACGCAATGTGGCAGATACAAAATGTCAATATACCAAACAAAATTTCCACAAGAAATGCTTTAAGCTGTTTTTATTTCTCTCTCTTTTTGTGGTCTGTCGCTGGGTAAAACTGTCTCTGAGGCAATCTCCCCAACAGTCAGTCTCCTTTGGGTGACTCTGACAGACACAGCAGACACATTGACAGGCAGACAGATATTGCAGCGACTCCTCCAATTGATAGAGGGATCTGCGTTTCGTTTCGTTTCGGTTTGCTTTTGCTTTTGCTTTAGCTGGCAATGTAAACCAATTTACAAATTAAGTATTCAGCAGCGCCAAGTTCGCCAAGTGGAAAACGGGTTTTACTTGCGTGACGTGGGACTGAGTGAGGGGTAGGGGGAGTCACACTCACTCAATGTGTTAAATGGTTTTTGTCTTATGGAATATGTGAATGAAATTGCCATGGAAATTGCATTTACCCATCAGAAAAGATAAATACGAGTGGCGAGCAAATTAAATGAATTAATTGCATGTAAAAGTGATTTAGGCCTGAAATTATATAACCATTAAATGGAGAGGAATTATAGTTCCATATTTAATAAATTTATTTATTATTTATTTATATTTCACTTATTTTTCATGTATTTTTGATCATTTCAGAGATCCATGATGCGTCCCAGTCAACGGAAGTGTACCACAAACATCAACGAAATGTCCAAACGAAACGCATTCCAGCAGCAAAAGGCACGAGAACCTACCGACCAATCAAATAAACATTAAACTTAAACGAAGAGAGCACGAGAGAATTACCATTAGAGGGAATCATCGAAACGATAAATCGTAAGCCGCAAAACGAACAAGGAAGGATAGCAAGGAAGGAAGGAAAGAATTCTCACCCTGTAGAGAAGCATCCCCCTCTGCCTGCACACAGGGGAATAGTTGGTATAGAGGGATAGAGAGAGAGTTGGAAAGAAAAGCCGTCAAAATTACGACGTATCACCCACCAACACCGAAAGTCAAACAGAACCCGGCCAATATGGACGCCACGTCCGGGCCGGGTGCGTTTGACGATGAACCGCCGCCAGAGCCACGAGACGGATGGCTGCTGGTGCGCATCCATGTGCCGGAGCTGAACGTCTACAAGTGTCTGCAGTTCCCATCAGAGCGTCTCGTCTGGGATGTCAAGCAGCAGGTGCTCGCCTCGTTGCCAAAGGTATGTACTACAGCCGTCCATCATCATTATCTCTTCATACTGTATGCTGTATGCTGTGTATATAGAGCGCAATGCGAGGCATGCCACACACACATGTTTGACCTGGAATTAGATCTATGAATGTATCTGCTAAATGATACCCACACCCTCGCCATCTTTCGCATGAAAAACTTTCATTCTTTCGCGTTCTTCTCTTTTTTTTTTGTGTTTCTCATACAACAATTTAGAATAATTTATTGAAAAGCAATGTTAACGAAACATAAATAAAGCCAACATTAATGTTTATGTGAGTGTGTAGGTATTCCGTTTGCCAGCCAGCTAGACAAAGCCTGGATGCAGCTCCTCATCGTAGGCGTAGATCAGTTCAACGTAGTAGGAGAAAATGACCAGCCAAGCGTAGATCAATAAACCTACGAAACGCAATGTAACTAGGATTCAGTTCAATCTACAGCTACAGCATGCCAAATATATTACCCGAGGTGACAATTGTCAGTAGAACTATGACCAGAACGAGGCTGTACATGAGCAGCACCAAGATGTGGACCACTATCCAGATTGGTGTGAAGATCAGAAAGGGTGTAAAGAGCATTTCGTTGTTCTGCAAAAGGGAGGGGGAGGAAGAATCGGAAGAAGAATTCAAATGGGGGCTGTGGATGGCAGGGACATGCACCCTACTCACATTATGCACTCCGATGCAGAGCAAGGCGGATGCAACAATGCCAAAGAATGAAAAGACCATCGTTGTCTTGAGGGCTGCCGGTGCGACGGTTCCCTTCTCCTGGTACTCATTGGGGAAGACGCACTCCATCATGAAGGCGGTGCCGGCCACAATGTAAACGAACCACGTGAGGAAGATGCAGCCAAAGAGCAGTGTCCCGATGCGCAGCGAATAGCAGAAGCAGCAGCTGGAGAAGATCTTCTTCAGATACTTGCAATGACAGGCCATGTTTGGTGGGGCTGGGCGGTGCCTGGTGCCTGACCTGCTAGCTCAAAGAATTCTTCTCAAGGAAACAATTTCAATTTCAATTTCTAAACTAGACGGAATTTGAAATTACAATTTTTTGTGGAAATGATTTTTACTGTGTGAGATTCTTCTACTGAATGAACACACACACACACACAAATTTGTGATATTGGGCTGGTTGACAGGCGTTAAGATGATTCGACTACTTGGTCAAAAGATATTCTCATTCTTCAGTTCAAAGTAGTAGGAAAAGACGACCAAAACGACATATAGATGCACTACTGAGGATTATCAATTGTTAATTCTGGCATCTGAATAGCGGGCAAACACTCACGCAGGTTGAATGTCTGGATGAGGGGACGTCGCATGAAACCCAAGCCAATGTGATTGTCCTCGACATTGTCCTGGCTGAAGCCCGCAATGAGGCTGCCGATTAGCATCAATGTAAAGACAATCGCAAATGCGCTAAAGGTTATCAGCCAGGGACACAGGAGGTTTTTCTTTTGCCTTAGGGCGCCAACGAACAGAACTACGGACACGGCCACACCGATGCAGCAGGGCAGCGACAGAAACAAGTAGAAGATCTGGCTCTCGGCGTACTCTGTGTATGCGTTGGAGATGGGGTGGGTGGGGGTAGGATCAGTGATCAGTGATGGCTGCACAGCCTCTGGGGGAGGCTCATACCTAGCCACCTTCAATGAATCCGTACATCAGCAGGGCCAGCAGCTGCAGTAGATAGGTGAGGGCCATGTAGATGGCAACCAGGAAGCAGCCGTACCTTAAGCCACAGCAACCGCAGCATGTTGTCAATAACATGCTCAAAATTTGGACTAATATAATGCTCGAAAAATCTGGGAGACAATCTAAAATAAAACCCAAGGCTACTACGAGTATGTATGTATATTTTGATGGGTAGAAAAGAGGGATGTCAATCAGGGTGTATAGGGATCGTCGTCATCTGCTCTACTAAGAGACTTGTAGAAGGAATGCACAACCATTATCGAGTAGATTAACGAGACTGTGAGGGGATATTCATGGGTTATCGAGCAGGTAATACACACAGCTATAATCACTCACCTATGATGAATACCTGCACGAAGATGGCAGCCGGTGGCGGAGACTCTATAACGATATCGATAATGGCCAGAACGATGTAGAAGAACAGTATTATTACAAAGACAGTCAGCCAGAAGCGAACTGGTCCTGGGCGTCTCTGAAATGAAGCAGCAAAGAAAGGGCATCTAGGCCTCAGTCATTGATTTCTACTCAGTTTGGATGGGGGACCCCACCTTTTTGGCACCGTAGATTAGCAGGCAGGAGGAGATGATGCCCATCGTTAGGATGCCCGCCATCAGGATGGCTGCCCAACTCTTTTCCGATGTATTTTTCACGAAAATGCAATCGTTGCTGTGCGTTATCATCTCGCCCATGTGGAAGCACAGAAAGAACAGGGCAATGATGAAGCAGCCACTGTCCAGCGCCAAAAAGAAGCAGCATTTCTTAAATAACATCCTCTCTGTGTGAATATTCTATTCTATTCCAAAAAGAAAACTCACAATATAATTTTGATTGAAAACTTAAAATTCGTTGTTCAGTTGAACGCAAAAGGAGGGCAGTCTCTGTTGCCCAGTCGGGCAGCCATCAGGCAATGAGAATACTCGTAAAAGGGGCGCAGTAAAGGGCGCAACCAACTTCACTCCGTACAGAAACTAGGTGGCAACGTTACTGAGGTGCTGCAGCTCTTACAGTCAGTCTCTAAGGCTCTCCAGATGGAAAGGCATATTAATATCAATGCCTCTTGCCGTACCCGGCTAAGACACTTAATATCATCTACTTCCTCTAATAAATCAATTTGCAAGCAAATAAATGGGGCATTTCATTGATTGGCATTGCATCCAAGCCAGAAGCTGCCACGTGCCCTTAAAGCAGGGCCACGCCCCTAACAAACAGTCGTCCTCTTGTTGAAGTTCAATGCAATCAAGACTCAAGTACAGACTGCAGAAATCGTGCCCGGAAAATCGTGACGTTGCAGATAGAAGAGATATTTGACAGTTGAATGGCAGCCGCCCGCCTGTCAAGGGAAACGCCAGAGGATGGAGAGACAGAGAGACTGAGAGAGAGAGAGAGCTAGCGAAAGAATTAAACTTTGGATGGATCGAAACTGCAGATACCGTGGACTTATAACATTTTCTCTGGTCGATACTTAATCCTCTTCCACCATGCATCACTTGTCACATCACAGTACCCATTTGGGGGGCATCAAGTTTTTGCGTGACGGCAACTAAATGTCCGCTTCAGCAAACCAAACCCTTCTGGCTCTCATCCTTTGTGGCGCTTCCTGTGTTAATTACCGCCCAAACAATGGCCAATCGATACGCACACATTTAATAACAATTTGCCGGACAATTTGTTGTCCAAACATTGTCGAATCCGATGCGGGGGCCGGGTCAGGCCGCGCCCATTTCGTTATTGGAACCGCAACATTGCAAACCGAACGGAAACTGGACCGAAACTGAACGTTCAACGTTCAACGTTCAGCGTTTAACGTGAACTCGGGTGAGCCGAAACACAATGACCTCCAGCTAATTGCATGGCCTGGTCCCGGTTCCGTTTTGGGCCAAGTCAGCAAGTGGCAGCAGGGGACAGCAGAGCATGAGGGCGGGCCAATGGAGTGGTGTTTCAGTGGTGTCTGTTTCGGTTTCTAGTGAATTATGTTGTAAATTCCATGCTGTGTGTTGCCGTGTGCGGGTGGCATAGCTCTTGAGCTCTTTCTGTGCATAGATACTCGTATTGAACACAGTTTTAAAGGATTTAATTGTGGGTTATCCGCCATAGAATATGTTTCATGTTTGATGAGTGATTGAATGCCGACTCTCATTGAAGTCTTTTATCGATGGAAAGCATATCTATCAGGTGCTTAGCCCCATTTCCTGCTTTCACAGATACGCACATAAATACATAAATACATACACATGTACATATATTTATCAATCATCAGTCTTGTGGCATATCTTATCGCGGCTTTACAGAACAGAAAGCGAGAACTATTTACGAGTATATTTGTATGTATATATAGACGCATGGGAAGGTGCCATAAAGTATACAGTTCATGGCATCATGGTGCAAATATTTGCACCGCAATTGAGGTGTTGCTTTGTGATAGCCAGGAACTGAAGAACTGAGTCAAGTCGAACGAACCAAAGACCAAAGACAACATCTTATCGGATCCCCTTATTCATTATCAGGTTTCATCATAAATTTATGGCCCAAGTAAAGTATTTATTTGCCAACGGCGAGGGCTGCTTTAACTTTACATTGGAGCTGTTACACAGCACCAGAGTACTACGTCAGTCTATCCATCAATCCATCAGTCAGCTTGGTGTGTCAATCAATCAGTCACTGCTACACTTTCGAGCAGGCTGTGTGTGTTTGTGTGTGTTTGTGTGTGTGGGCCCTCAATGGAGTTCACTTCCGCCTGCTAATCAAATCAAATCCAATCCACTCAAAAGCGTAGCTGTTTTCTATGATCTGTTTCTGTGCTTCTTGCTGGGTGGGCGTTACGTACCGGTTTCCATTTAAGTTGTTTTCCATGTACTAGCACACGTAATGCTCAGGGCTCTGTGTGGCAATGGCTATGGCTATGGCTAGGGGTTTAGTTATTAAACCACTTTGGCTTACTTTGCCAGATAAGAAACCAGTAAGCAGATCTTAGCCAAAATATGGCGAATGGACCGTGCATATATGTATATGGAAATATTACATTTGTTTGGCTATTAATGAGAATGAACCTGATATGTGTTGTTCCTTGGTTAATTCCGCATGCTGAAATATCAATTGTTCTAGCTATTACCTTTATTTTCAATTGGAGTTCGTTGCCTCCTCTGCCAAGTATTATCTCTGCCATGCCATCCATAAGTGAAATCTCTGGCTAAAACTTCTTAAGCTGCAGATAAAGTTGTGCTGGAGCGAATGGTAAAAACTATCTTTAATCGAATGCCAAGCAGAGGCTTGGGGGAGCGCAATGCAAGTCTCAGCGAATGGACAGATAGACACAGTAAAGACCAAGTCCAAAGTGCATGAATTGAAGCAGCAGAGTGGCAGGCAAGCGGGCGTAAAAGGTTCTTTAAAGAGAGATATTGATTTTAGCCAGAAAGCAAGGAGCAAATGTGGTCACCGTTGCCGCTAAGGACTTGTCGAGGTTCAGATTTATGACATGACCAGAGCCACTTGAATCAATTGAAAAAATGTGCGCCTCGAATCTTGCTGGAAATTGTACGCTGCCCAAAAGCCAAAGCAATGGCAATTAGGCCATGACATAATGGGCAATCCCTCAATTAGGCCAAGTTAATGGGTAACACGAGAAGCAGGCGCACATCGTTGCTCTGTGGATGTTTCAATCAAAAGTTTTCTAATGCCATGGAAAATGTAGACATTTTCGCTGGGTTTCTCGTTCCCGCAGCCGCTAAAACCCTCGACGCTCGTTAGATTTAATGATGCTGCATAGTTTGGGCACGCACGACATCATTTTGAGCGACTGGGTGGTGCTGCCCCCCACCTCATTCTGTGCCCCTTCTCCCTCTTCAACGTAAGTGGCATAGAGACCTAGTTATACACGAAGACACAAGGACATGTGTGTGTGTGTGTGTGTGTGTGTGTGTGTGTGTGTGCGCCTATCTTTGAATCTCTGTCTCTCCATTGAACCGTTAATTCCGGCAAGAACTTAACTTGCAACATTGCCATCCCCTTGCTCTCCCTATTGTGTCCTAGGCGCTCGGTGTCTGCTTCTTTCAAGAAATGTCACATACTTTTGTGGATAATTTAACCTCCCAGTAAGCCCCTACAGGAGGGTGGAGGGCGGCTCTCCTTGAGGTTCAGCTATTGTTCAGAACAATAAAGATGCCGCCGATAGGGAGCCCAAGTGTAGTGGCGGTCCCTACACTCGATTGAGAGAGGGGAAGAACCCATTTGATGGGAACAATGAATGTGTACATACATATATATATATATAGTGAAAAAACTGTATCATCTGGGGTATGCATGCATAAAGGGGCCAATGTGGGGTGGGGGGCATTGTTTGAGCCCTGCCTTAAAGCATCTGTCATGCCAAATATAATCAACCCTAAAAATATTCACAATGTGTAAAAAATCATCTGCCCTAAAACACTGCGTATGCGTGATATGTAAAGGATATGTCAGACATGAATATATAATGTATATACTCGTACATATGTCTGTACATATACATATTTTTTACATGACAGCCACAAACCACCAGCATCCCCCCCAACACGAACGCCACAATTTTCTGTTATTTTAAATTAAATTTTGTTTATTTTTGAATTAATTTGTCGTGTTTTGGCATTTTATTTAATTGAATATGTCACAAAAAAATGAACTTTACAAAACCAACCTACTACTGATGACAACTCTGGGTACGGAATTGGAAATGGTGCCCCTGGCAACCCTCTGGCAACCCCATGTCGTGTGCGCTGCGTATACGCAATGTGATTGACCTTTTGAACATTGGAAATTCCCGAATGATGTAATGAAACGGATGAACCATTGGAAAATGCAATCGCATTTGCTGTTGCCGTTGCTGCTGCATTCGTCTTGTGTCTTCCTTTCACGTGAATAAATAATTTACGGTGGCGTGGCACAGGTGGCCTTCTGGTTTAAGGTTGGTGTTTGGTTCTGTACCTATCAATATATAAATATATATGTGTAGATAATTCTATGTAAATAGAGGAGCGCTGGGCTTACGAGATATTTCGATTAGAGGCAGTTCCAATTAAATTTACGTAATTTAATTTAATTTATTTTATATGATATTATTTTCTTTTTATAAGTTTAAATATATTTTGTTTACCTTCCATAGCTGTATCTGTCTTGTTCCATAGAGTACTTTCCCATTCGGTTAGGGTTAGGAAGGGGAGGAGCATTCGCCCTGCCTCATCGAATATTTATTAATATTTAAGTTTAAGTTTAATTTTAATGGACACGAGGCCCGCAGCGGCTCTCAAACATACATACATACATATGTACGTACATGTGTCTGTGCATACCACCTACGCAAATATTTTGCTGGCAACAACATTTGCTTTACTCGCCACAAAACGGGGCAACTTCAGTTCCAACTACGAAATGTGTCAAGTACAGCAAACAGTTACAGATTTATGGCTCGAAGCGACCACGCGACCAGGAACTCTTTTCCTCTGCACATCGAACCACTCTGTGGAGCTCTAGTGGTGCGCTCCGTCCTCCAACCAGCATTCACTCCTCCCTCTCCTGCCTACCCGTGTAATTCAATTAAAATGCAAAAAAAAGGAAAAAAGATTTTAGCGCTTCAGGCGTCAGGCTTTTGTAAATGGACCACGAGAGTTGGGAATGGGAATGGAAATGGAGCCATGTCCATGTCCATTTCACACAGTCTGTGAGTGGTTTCGGGTCGCCTTTGGACAGTTCTCGATAGCATTATCATTTACAGAAAGACAACCGCAATGGCAGAGGGAGGAAGGGAAGTTAGCAAAGAGAGAAACCACAAAATATATCAACTGAATTTCTGACTAATATTTTATCAGTGGGCAAACAACAAATACTATTTGGGA